CAAAACCTACAAAATCTTCTTTGTTTTCACTGTAATTTATTTTTTACTATTTAGGGAGCATTATAAATAGTTATGTTTTTAAAATAAAAAAAACCACTATTGTTATAAATAACACATTCAATTGAACTAAACTATGCATACCTATTTAAATATATTTACACATGGCTTGTGTATATCGTATATATACATATATATTATTCATACCGTCGGTGTATAGGACGCAAGCAGATTTTGACATAAAATTTTGGGGCAAAAAAGTGCGTCTTATACACCGAAAAATACGGTAGTTTCAATTTGATGCAGATTTCAGAAGTGGAAGAAACGGGAAAATATTTTCATTTTTAAGAACTTTTTTAACGAAATTAATTTTTTATTTAAATAAACATGTGATTATTTACTAATTAGTCTAACTTGACCTAGCCTCACGTAAACTGACCTAACATAGCAAAATTTAAAAAAAGTTATTTTCGTTTCTCCAAATTTTAATTCATATTTCTGAAATCAGCATTAAAAACTACCTTCAAAAATATATATTCTTTTCTATTCGAACGTAGTGCATGAAACAGAAGAGATCCGAAAGCGAGTTGAATGTATAAAAGGAATATAGGTGAATCAAGCTCAAATTACATAAAAAGGAGTAAACTATAACATAATTAAATTTAAGAAAGATAGATTAGATTAGCATACAGAAAAATTATTACCACCAGGGGTGAAATTCAGCTTGTACTCACAAGGACTCCATACCGGTTCTCTTTGGAATTCCATGTCAAGTACCTTCTTTAAGGAGAATTTCACCACTGATTACCATTCTTAAAAAAAATAATTAAAAACATCTATTGTGAGCCATGAAAAGAGAAGGAATTAAAATTACCAACTCTGTATTAAGAAGTTTTATAAACTCAGAAATAAAACTATAATTTGGTCTAAAGACGATGAATTTTTGACAAAAATTCATACGTTTATAATTAGTAACATCTCACAAATTTATAAGAAGACTTAAAGAAGTTATCAGGTAATAAAGTGTATTAAATAAATATTACTACATACATAGTTTAGTAAATCTTAGCGTTAAGAACCGAAAGATACATTTATCCAAATAGTCCTAATATTTTTGTCAGAGTGAGCTATCATGAGAAAACTAAAGAACGATGACGATTAAACTCGTGAAAGAAGAAATAGCACATCCAGAAGAGAACTGTTATCAGATCTGAAACAGGTACACTTAGATACAGGTGAGCCTTATTCTGTGAGCTACTACCTGAAAACACTTACGAGTGGTATATTTTAAAGAAGATATGTCAAACATTTAATCGTTTACAAAGAAAACAAATATTACCTAAGGATTTATATAACTAAACTGATGTTTCTACTATGACCTACCTCATGTCTGTTTCCTTCAAAGTTTTCACTCAATTCTCTCAAAATACTTCCAGTTTCTTGTATCCACTCGTCTAACGGCAAGTTCACGGATTGTGACCTCGTGCGCGATTGGATGCGTGGTGTTTGGACTACATCTGGGAGAGATCGATTAATGCGGTGCATTAGAGGCGAATTGCTGTCTTGGTTTTGGAAGACTGGATCATCTGAGAGAGAGAGAAAAAAAAGGATGCTAATATATCACATAACTTATCTTCAGCAGAACACCGTACAGATATACTGTGTGCGCATTAATGTTAACACTATAAGAAAACGTGTAGATGCATGAACGACTTATTCAAGTAAGGGGGGGAGCTTCACAAATGTTTATTACTAACTTTAAGGGAAATGTCGATGAAGACAAGGTATAGTGAATGACAAAAGATAAGTTTAATCACTGCATTTACATTGGACGTTCATGCTCCTAAATATTACATAAAATAACATAACCTACGAACAAGAAGGAGGTACTTGGTCCTTCAAGGCTGTACTTGCACACCCATCAATGGGAAAATAAAAACATAATAACAATATGCTTACTCTTTACCTCCAGGAAATCATGGTGGAATTAAGATCATTTCAATATAATGATGACGAGCCATACAACAGGAGGTTCCACTAATGGTTCGATGTGTAAGGATGTCAACAGTAGTGCCCCTCCATAGTTGTTCAGGTAATGCATTTCCCAAACTGTATTATGTGGAACCCTGGGGTTCCATACGATTTATCCAGGGGTTCCACGAGAAAATTTTGTGTAGTGTAACTCACCAATCCATAAATCCTACCGTCCCGTATTCCCTTTCTCATTGGCTATTTCATTTATTTTTGCGAGCCTAATTGATGACTTGCTGTAAGTTAGTCGCTAGTGATGGTCTAGTGCAGTGTTTCAAAGAAACAACAAGCTAGTCTTGAGTTTGTGAATATTTCATAACACTACAAAAGTACAGTGATTTTAAGTATTGATAATAGTAAGACATGGATTGAAACGAAAAACAAGTTCTTCTGATAATAATTTTTTATGTCTTAACTTTTTAACATAAGGATGTTTCTTAAATTATTGACTGCTGATTCGCCGTGGGTAGTGCTAGTCACCATGGATATATGCAAGGTTACTTGTGAACTAATGAACATTGAATTTAGTCATTGAAATTGTTGAAAATGTTTAAAATAAAACAACAACTCTACAACAAGAGATATGAAAAATCTGGAGGCACTGGCACTAAACTGTAAATATACATGTGTGTAAGCATGCATATGTGGATATTTATTACCTGCTTTATTTAAAAAGTTTTAATTTATAAAAAAACAAACATTGATTTATTGAAAGTGATTATTAATATATTTTGTCTAAAAAATTTACTTTATGTTCTAAATCACTTATGAAATTTAGAAAAAAATGGAAACTAGACAATTACATCATAACACATAACCTTGTGTAAGGACATGTTCATCCATTTTCTGTTTTTGGCCCCAGTACATTGAAAACATATCTGCTCAACCAAGATTTAGCTTCGTTGGTAATTAATGACCTGTTTATATATTGATATAATAACCATATACATGTTTTAATGCATGCAGAACTGTGTGACATCTATAACATCTGTAATGAGATAAACTTAAGTTTTCAGGGGTCCATTTTTACTCCTACATAAAAGTTACTTATCACAAACACACTATCTTTCTATCAGCACCCAGAAAATGTAATTTTACACCTTTATAATACAGTATAAACTTCTCACCTTTTATATTTCCACCCCATTTTTCATGTTAATTAGTATAAATAATGTGACAGGCTATTTACTCCTTTACTGGCGTTATATGACACTTTTTTTAGTGTACATGTATGATATTGTATTACCAGTAAAATATGATGTGTGTGTTTGTGTCTATATATATACACACACACACACACATATATATATATATATTTCTTGGGATACGTTATAAAATCATTTTCTAAACATTGTTTAATATATTTGAAATTAATTTAGATAAAATCTTTTTTTGTTTAATAGTTTGACACCACGTTGCTGTATAGGCCTTTTTAAAGTTTTGTTGAGCTTTATAATTGTTTTGTTTTTTGCTAATAAAACACACTGCATTGATGAGACTTAGGTCATGTTCCACTTTGTGAAGGTGGCGCTGGTTAGCCACGTGGTAGTGCTTTGGATTTCCGAGCTGGAGATACCACGAAATATCTCCTCCCCACTTTAAACTGTGAGTGCGTTATAAGAGTGACAGTCAATCTCTTATCATGGATTGGGGGGGGGGTGATCAGGCACTTCTGACTGGCTGTAGTTTAAACTGTAGTTTCTGGTCAGTAGTGGATAGCCTCAATAACTTTGCCATAAATACAAAATTCAAATACATATTGCTGAAGGAAACTGCTATCATTGGTCTTTGCAGAAACTCTGGTTCACAGAGATTTACGCTGAGATTTAACTATACGCAGCTGCCCCAGATTTTGTATACTTTAATACGTATAATTTAGGCTATAAATTCGACATGTTTTAGACAACTGTTTCACTTAAAATTTATAGCTGTTACATTTCCTAATGATATATGATTAAACCAACATTCACGGGCACGCTATACCAATAATAGGGCTAAGTTACCGATCATCCAAATGTGGTCTAACATTATATGTCATTAACAGCATTGGTTTAATTACAGACGCTTGCAGTTAATGCAACAGATATATTGGAACTAACGAGTCTTCTGTACTATCAAGCGGCTTGTGTCTGAACGTCTGTTTGTTTGCTCATGACAAAAATTTCTCAAGCTTCCCAAATCTCTGAAACTGAACGTGAAGCCAATATTGTACAAATTAAACATCCCACTATAATGAACAAAAAGGCATAGATTATCATATACATGTTTCTGTGTGGTTTTGAGTCCGTTTTACTTCCCCATATAGTAGCCTAAGTTATGTTCTTGTTTAAATGTTGAATACACATCCATCAATAAGGAAATAGATATCTCAAAAATCGACCACCTCCATGACTTCATGTGATATTTTTAGGTAATACTGATTTTTCCCTGAGTGAAAAAAAGAAAAGAAAAAACCCGCTTAATAACGGGAGATTCGAGAAGATAGTTACTGCGAAATAATCCTCTCCTATCTGATTAATGAAGTTGTGATAAATAAATAAAGACTAAACACAAGTTTATAATTAAAGTGGACAATCTTTATTTAGAACAAACACAATTAAAATGTATACTTATCTTGCCACAATGGACAGTTGTCTTTATTGGAGAGTTAGTTCTAGCTTGGTAATCTCTAGTTCCATACAGCCTTTCTCTAGATCATGTTCCAACTTACTCTACGAAGACCATGTTCCAGACTGAATAATTCTCACGTTAGCTACATAAATCATTAATTAAAAAAAATTACCCAGATCGACTAGCGCTACACACGTGACTAGTCTTTAACCACTAACCACTAGTGGGAAAAATAAATAATTTCACATACCACACGTAATCTTAAAGTTATCTATCTGTCCATAAGAAGTTTGTTTTTAAATTTCGCGCAAAGCTACGCGTGGGCTATCTGCACTAGCCGTCCCTAATTTTGCAGTGAAAGACTAGACAGAAGGCAGCTAGTCATCACCACCCACCGCCTACTCTTGGGCATACATTTTTACCAACGAATAGTGGGGATGACCGTCCCATTATAACGCTCTCACGGCTGGAAGGGCGATCATGTTTGGTGGGACGGGGATTCGAACCTGCGACCGTCAGATTGCGACTCAAGCGCCCTAACCACCTGGCCATCGACGAGAAAACAAAAGGTGCTACTCTATAGGGAGAATGACATAAAACAATAGTTAAGTACAGTAAAAGGAATTTACTGACTTCCTTGGCCAACTTGTTATGTTGAAACTGTCCATATCTACATAGATAACGAATTTGTATAATAATACAAGATGGTAGTTTACTTTACTCTACTTTTGTAGTGGTTTCGGTTTAAATAATTTCACCCCAAACTCAGGAACAGTTCAGGGTCAAAAGACACCGAGTGGTGGCGGCGTTCAGAAAAATTATTTCTCTTCACCCCGCTCGTGTGTGAGAATTGTCGTGGAAAACGTAGTCCAAGAAAAAAACAACAAAAAACAAGTAAATATATACACGCACACAAAAATAAGATCGCGAATGAGTTAAAACCAAAATGGTAATGGGAGTCTAAGACTTAACATTTAAAACCAGAATGGTAATGGGAGTCTAATACTTAACAGTTAAAACCAGAATGGTAATGGGAGTCTAATACTTAACAGTTAAAACCAGAATGATAATGGGAGTCTAAGACTTAACATTTAAAACCAGAATGGTAATGGGAGTCTAATACTTAACAGTTAAAACCAGAATGGTAATGGGAGTCTAATACTTAACAGTTAAAACCAGAATGATAATGGGAGTCTAAGACTTAACAGTTAAAACCAGAATGGTAATGGGAGTCTAAGATTTAACAGTTAAAACCAGGATAATAATGGCAGTCTAAGATTTAACAGTTAAAACCACAATGGTAATGGAAGTCTAAGATTTAGCAGTTAAAACCACAATGGTAATGGAAGTCTAAGATTTAAGGGAGTTTCAACAAGCAAAAACACAAAAACCACAGACGGCTAGTAAATAAGTCGTATCTTTCATATTAATATAACTGGAGTTTAGTAACATCAGTGGGTGGGAATGTGTAGATCCAATACTTTTAATTCAGCTATGGTAAGAAGCACGCAGTATGTTTATATAATGCAGTCATATGCAAATAACTTCAACGTGTATAAACAAGTACAGCTCGGTAAAAACCACTGAATACAAGCTGTCATTTCACGAACGAAAGTATCCCGGGAATTAAATGTATTTTTCAACATGTCACCTTAGTAGGAAGAAAGGAGGGCAATTATGGTCTGTGAGAAATCGCCAGGTCACGTGTAATACTACAGTCAACAGTGTGAAAATGTAGTTTCAATATCATTGGAAAACAATAGTTTATGCATGGCCCGAGTGCACATAATTAACAGAACAGACTCTTTATGCAACACAGATGTAGATTTACTTCAATACTATCAAAAGTTATTTCTATAGCATGGGCCACAATAGCAGAGTACCCATACGAAAGCCACTCTCCACTCCTGGCAATGCCATATGTCGATTGCCTGTTGATCCGACG